GGTTACAGAAAAAAAAAAAAAAAAAAAATATTTTTCATTCTGATCAAAATTGAAATGCATTGGATGTTATTTTGTTTGCCCCTGGTTTGCTTTTCTCTTTTCTGACTTTTTTACCCATGGACACCAATGCATGGATCTTTGCTCTATTTTGGTAACATAAGCCCCTCTGCGATTTTTTTTTTCTCCATGTGGTTTCATTTTGTTTTGGAATTATATGGTATAATGACGAATTTGCCCTAAATCATTAGATGCATGTGATAGAACAACTTTAATGTCTTCAAGTTTCATCCCCTTTCCTTGAATTGCCAAACAATTGGAACAAATACCAAAATACCCTTTTAACCCTACAATTTCACAAGAAAAGTTTCAATTTCAATTCCAATTCCAATTCCTTCAATACCAACTCTTTATCCACTTCCTTGATTTGTGAGATTTGTGACATTTTTCAATAGATTCACGTGATGGATCTTCTTTCTGCAACAACATTGCCCCTGCGTCTTAATCCAAAAAAATCAAAAATATAACATAATATTTACAACTTCCAATTCCAATTCCAATTCCTTCAATACCAACTCTTTAGACAGATTCTATTCCTTCCAAAAAAAACATTAACTCTCTTACCAAACCAATGCTGCAATCAACCTTCTTGTCCTTAACTCTCTTAGCCTTGTTTTTCCATCTTTTCGGCTTCTATTCAGCTTCAGTGTCATGTCATTCACAGAGAGCTCCTCCGTATTATCCTCTTCAACAAGCCTGTGCAAAAACTTGGGTCATTAATCACTCATATATTTTTTCTTTTAGAATCATAAAAAAAAATGATCTTACAAGTTCGCGACGGATTGGTGAGAATAAAAAAAATATTTTAATGCATCAATTTTGCGAGGGATTAGCTACGAAAAAAATATCATGTCTAAAGTTTGTGACAGATCATTGATGGAACAAAAAAAAAATAATGTATAAATTTTGCAAGAGATTAGCTATGGAAAAAACCATGTCCAAAGCTTGCGACACATCAGCGATGGAAAAAAAATCGAATTCTGCAAGGGATTTGCTACGGAAAAAAAAAAAAATTGTTCAAGAAAATTTGCGATAGAACAGTGACGAAATGACTTTATCAAATTCTGTCGCTAATGCCCTGAGTAAATGTATTGAGTGACATTTAGCGACGGATATTCTGTCGCTACATTTGTCGCAAGGAAAAACCTCTCCGTCGCTAAAACCCTCGCTGAGAAATTAGCCACCTATTAATTACCTATGGACTAATCCATCGTTGATCCATCGCAAACAACATTTAGCGACGGATAAAAACTCATGTTTCTAGTAGTGTTGTAACTCTAGCCTCTCACTAGCTTTTTTTTATTTAAAAAAAAAACCCTTTGGTTTAAAAAAACATCATATAAATAATACCCACTTATATTTTTTGAGACTTATTGAGCATATTCAATGTCTTAGCATATGTGAAATTTTTTGCCATCAACAAAGACTGGACTGACATTTTCAAATACAGGAAGGTATTGAAAGGCTAATACATTTATAGTGTTGTTCCTTTATGAAACACGTGCTTGCATCTCATGAGAACAAATTATGAGTAATGTGAAATATGTTTAATGGATCATGAAGTATTCAGATTCATATGCAAACCTTCATACACCAAAACATACAAACAAACATTTCATTTATATTTATACTCATACAAATAACTTGACAGAAAATAAAACAGGTTTTAGATGTTAGGTTTTCTATGTATCAAAAACACATAAACTAGGTAGTGAAAAAATAAATTATGATATACCTAAGCGTACATGCAACCTACGGATGTATGCCTTCGTGCTTGAGCTCTCATGCTCGTGACCTTGTTTACATGAAAATGACTCAAACCGGAATCCCTTTCTTGGTTCATAACCAGTAAACTCAAAAGTGCATAATCAAAATATAACTAGGAGGAGTTAAACTCTTAATGAATTCCTCCACAAAAAGGGAGAAAGAAGACGCGAAGCTTCAAGCCAAGAATAAGTAAGGATTATGGCTTTTGATATCTTCCACTGTGTTTGTTGGATTAAGTTTCGAATCCCATAACTATAATTTGTATATACTTGAACTGATTGTAGCATAGTTTTTTTGGGTTGTCCTCATAACTAGCAACTGGACGACATGACTTTTGGAAAGAGAGAGAAAGGTTGATTTATTATATAATTAATAAATTGAAATAAATAATTTGTTAATATGTTGTGAGAACAATATATTAATTACAAATAGTTATATATAATTAATATTTAATCAGAAATTAATAAAAATTAAAAGAATTAATTAAAAGTCTAGGGTCTAATGTGCAATTGTTCAATAGTTGAACAAGAGGCGCCAGAACCTTCTTGGAGAAGGTTTGACGGTTTCAATAAGGATATTCTAAGGTTTCTATAAGTATAAATAAAGCGTTGGATAATTAACCATTTGAAATACTATTATTATCTTAAAATTTGGGTTATGTAGAGCATCCTTGTTGGAAAATAAAAGGGCCCTCATCCCAAAGGATTTTGGCCACTCATATCTTTAGACGTATAACCAAAATTCTTATATGCCCCTATCCTCTCTCCATATTCATCTTGTTGCTAGTGTTGAGTGTGAACCACTAGAGGCACGATATTTGTGATGCATTCTCTCAAGGCTTCAACAATACAAAGTTCTTTGTTATTTGTCAACAACAATCAAGGTATATTTCTCTTAGCCCTAATCATATTTTCGAAAATATGTTAGGTATGCTAGTGTTTCTTATTTGATGTTGAAAGTTGTATATTTAATTAGAGAAAACATATATCTTATTCTAGGGTTGCATGCACACTCAATTTTTTTTTTTTATTATTTTTTTTTTGTTTTGCATAAAACCGATATCTTTAACATTCCACCCTTATGTGATGAGATATCCCCAAAATGAAATTCTTTTTAATTCTTATTCGAATACTATCCACCATAGGTTCTACAGTATTCCCGATTAATAAGCTATTGATAAATTGCTATTCAACCCTTAAATTAATTAGATTATTAATTAATTCTCATAATATTTTCAAATTACTTTATAATCTCTAAATATTACTAAAACAAAACCTTAAATTCTTCAATGAAGAAACATCAACCCTTGATTGCATTTCTTTCCTATAGTCTCCACCTTAGGATCATTTTGCTGACATCATCCTGACCCAAACAAATACACGTGCCTCCAGAATAAAACTTCCTTCTTACGATTCATTCCTAATTTCATTCTTATGTTTTCTCTCCAAACAATCAACACAATCAGCTCCCCTGAAATTCAATAGATATGAACCCACCTTCTATTTTGCACTCATCTTCCCATTAGGATTCTTTCGCTTCTGCAACCTTATTCCTAATCAATTATGATTCTTTGTTTCTCCTCATATCCCCTCTAATCGTTGAAACCCTAGCTTCTCCATCGTCTGCTAAACCCACCACCATCATTGTGTCCCCGTCGTTACTCATCAACTTAGAGTTCCATCTGACATCTAACGCTACCTCGAAGTTATGAAGGCGGATCTGTCAAGTCCAGGTATGGTTGTGGGTTTGATTTTAAGGATGTTTTTCCCCTATACATCATATTTTGAATCTGCTATATACATATATATATATATATATATATATATATATATATATATATATATATATATATATATATATATATATATATATATATATATTCCCATTCCTTTCAGTTTTGATGAAGAAAGTTCTAATACAACTCAAAAAGAGGTTCACGATTATGGCTTCATTAATTATTATTCTCCCTCCTGTAGAGGTTATTCTATTTTGGATCTTTTTTTGAGTTTTTTATAGTTAAACATTCTTTAATTGCTTTAATTCTACCTGGTATTCCCCTAGGAACATCCACAAATAGTGAATGCTCGTATTTACCCCTGCAGTGTTCGTAAAGTGATTATGTTGACACAGAGTTTGGTGATAAGGAATGAAGAAGAATCATGGCTAGAAACAGAGGCGGTAACCAAATAGGATGAGAAGCTACATGTTTAACGATTCATTGTGAAGAAACCTAAATGGTATCTGATTGTGGCTTTTCTTTTTGAATATGTGGAATGAGCTTTGGTTCTTGAAGTGTGATTGAATTTTACTGCTCATACACACAAGTAATTTACTTTCATTTTTATGTTTATCTTTTTGATGTATCAATTAGATATATATGATTTACTTCTCACAGTTGATTGCTTAGAAATCCTATATTATAGACCCTTAGATTATTTGCTGACATCATCCTCTACCCAAACACCCGTTACCTAATGTTGGATTTCGTTGTTTGTCATTTACTCTCTCTATCCCTCCTTCCGGTCGTATCAATCAATGCCAAAAAAACCTAAAAAAGAAATGGTTTTGAAGATACTGTGATAATGAAGGACGTTCAAGGGATGCCCGGAACACCCGTTAGCCTTGCCTTGTGTCTATTTCAATTCCCTTTCGCCACCGTTTCAGTTTCCGTCATGGCCGCCAACAGTGGCTTCCTTTCTGTCACCGCTTTCTGGTTTTCGTTATGAAGATCAAAACCCTATTCTTAACATTTACTTTTCATATCACTGTAGTGTGTGGCATGTCGATTTCATGACGAATTGGGTTATTTTTTGGTAAGTCTATAAGTATGATTGCGATATATTTGATTGAAATCATTTCTGAATTGCTTCCACAAGCTTAGTTTTTACGCATTTACAATGATGAAAGATATCACAAAAAAGTTTTGTTCCTCAAGAAATAATTACTGAAATTGGTGTTTGCTATTAGGGCATTAGAACCTTAACATTGATTCTTTCTTCTAATTATAACTATTATATCACATGATAGCTTCCACAAGAAATCCAATCTGGATTTTATCAAGTCTGATGTGCAGGTACTTCTTTTCATTCATGGATTTCATTTCATCTTTTGGATTTCTCAACCTGATTCTTTTTTATTCCTATGTTTAAACCATTGTGTTTGAGTTTGCTATGTAGGTAGCTTTATGTGGTTTTGATTCCACTGATATAGTCATGAAGAGAAAGATTCTATGTTAATATTCTGTAATTAATCTTATAAGTCAGTATGTACACACCCAATCTATTTTTTTTCTTTTGAGGTTTAATTATGCTTTTTTTGCACACATGTTTGATGGTTTGACCAGATTGCTTTTGCCACATCAGATAACCAAGGAACCATTGTTGATATATGAAAAACTTTGACATACCTTGTTGCAGAAGCTTTTGACCCTTTTGTCAATTCTGTAAACTTTGACTTTTTCTTAAAATTTCTCTAAAAAAAGCATTTGAATTTTGTGTTTGTTTTGTTTCGCTTTCAGAAAGTCCAGAAAGGTGTGTCAGTTCTTGGAGGTTAGTTAAACTATAATAAATGACAATTTTACCCTCAAGACTCCACTTATTGTATAGACTTTTTATTATTCTTGTGGAGTTTTATAATTGAGACAAAATTCATTGAAAATGTTGAGATTGGTTTTAAAATTCATTTAACTCTTCTGTTTTTGCAAAAATACCAAAATACCCTTATCATCTATTTTTAAATAAGACACCGGTTTATAAATTTTATTAGTTTTTTTTATTTCATTTCATTTCAAGAACATTTAATTGATCTTTTTTTTTTTTTTTTACTTATAAACAGCATAAATGGGATTTTTTCTAAGGTTTTTTTAACCTTTGCTGGTGGTGCTTCCATGATTCTTAAACCTGAGAACTACCTTGTCCCATCACAGTACGTATTACTGAAGGGTATTTTAGGAAATATCAATATTTGCAACTTTAATTTCGATTATACAATTAGAAACCACAATAGAAGTGTAATTGTTAGTTTTGTATCTTGTAATCTTATATTATCTTGATCTTTCAGGCCTCATTACAATGTTGATCTACAAAGCATTTTGGTCAACGGTCAAAAGTTGACCATTCACCCAACTGCTTTCGCCACAGATAACCAAGGAACCATTGTTGATACAGGAAGAATTACAGCCATGTTGATACAGATCAAAATGATGGATGTTTTCATGGGGATTAAAATCTTGTCTGATTTAGGTTGGAAGTTTAGATGGAAGAATTACAGCCATGGGGAAACAAATACAAAAGGTTTCACAAGCCTGCAGATTGTAATAACAGGAAAAGCAAAGGAAAATTGAGGAATAATTGGTGTTGGATTAGGAAGATGATAATTAGAATTAACTGGCCCTATTCTGATCATGTTAAGATAAGGAAAATGAGGGTTGAGAATGAAAATAGTGTTTCTTTTGCCAACTGATTTAAAGGGTATTGTGGTCAATTTCAGATTTTTTGTTTCCGATTATGTTGTATCACCTGCTTTTGCTCAAATAACTTGAATATCAGATTCATGGGGAATCATCCTGATATTTTAAGAAGTTTCGATGTGCTTGTCAGAGTTTTATTCACAACAGCAAGTCGATTTGTAATGAATAGGGGTATTTCAGTCTTTTAAATAAACGGAATACTATGTCTGGGATTTTTATTAGACCATGTACAAATTTTTTTGGGTTTGTCAGCTTGGATTTCGTAGAGGGTAATGACAGATTTTGTTTTATCAGTGACAATTCTACCTCTTGGTTTGGAGGATATTTTTGGAAGATTTTTGGTTGGTTCCCTATTCCTGGGTTTATTGGTGTTTCTGGGATTCTTTCGACAGAAACACTGCTTATAATGATAGCATGGAGATCAAGATTGGGTTATGTTTTTATCATTGCTATTGGTTGTTGAATCAGGGGAATTTTGGTCAAAATGGTTTAGTTTCCTGTTCTTATATTGCTCCTGACATTTTAATGATTAAGCGAGAAACTTATTTTATTGAAATCAACGTTGCTTGGTTCAAGTGTAGTCAGTTTTATTGTGTTATTTGGTTTTATTTGACAAAAGGGTAATTTTGGTATTTTCTTTTATGGAGGAGTTCTAAGTTCAAGATTGGCTGCCAATCTTTTAGAATCAATAAAGGGATTGACTGTAAATGGTTTTTGAGTAATTTTTATTATAATATTACAACACATTTCAATTTTTTTTTCTGAATTTCATTAGGTTCTTACCTTTTGATATAACTTAAAGTGTGCATATATACTATTTTGTTTTTATTTTTTTCATCTGAAGTAATAAACTTTTTTTTATATATTTTTGTCGGACAACGAATATCTTGAGTATGTAACTTTAAAGAAAAATGATGGAATGGTGATAGATTTTGCACATCAAAAATTTAAATGTTAAATAATGCAAATTATAAAAGAAACGTAAATACGAAGAAAAAAAGAAACCGAATCATGAAATACAACTAATAATTTGGAGTATTAATTATGCTTAATATTAATAAACACATTTAGTATATTAAAAAAGAAACTCAATTGACAAGTAAAAAAATGACACAATTGGCAATTGGTAAGTTAAATAGCAGTTTGTATATTAAGTTATGTATTTTTATACTTCCACTTAGTATTTTTATTAATCTACTTGATAAAATTGTATTTTTCCTTTTATGCACTTTGAAAAGCTTTGAAAACATAGTCGTAGAAAGCCTTGATTTTATCCCTTATATAGATTTTATCTATGTTTTTTATTTTAGTATTTTACACTTTTAATTTGTTAACAATGTCTATATTAGTTAATTTTTTTTAGATAGGGATACAAAACAATTTTCATTGTGGTGTTGGTTATCATTTTCAAATTAGAATGTCATAGTAAGAATTTAAGTGTACGTACAATGCCATGATTGGATGCATTTTACACAGTATGACACCCCTAACTTTTTTTTTAAGATGTAGGAAAAAGATAGTATTCACAAGGACCACATTTTTAATTTTTTCTTCCAGATTTGGTACCAAAAGTAGGAATCAATTTGAAATTTGTTTCCTAATTTTGTTATTTCATAATGATTTTGCTCCATGAATGAAAATAGGATCCTGTAATCAGAAAAATATATATTAAAGTACATTGTTGTCATTATAGCAACATACTTTCATTTAGTGGTTGATTATAACATTGTATTTTCATGTGTATGTGTTTTGTTGAAAAATGACTAAAGCAAATCTATGTTGTGTTTAGCATGAAAACATGTTAGAACATGTAATAAGAACAAAAAATGCATATATATATATATATATATATATATATATATATATATATATATATATATATATATATATATATATATATATCGACAAATTTTCACTTGCAATCCTTCGAATATTTGTAGGTATTCTCTTTTTAAAAAGTCCATATAAACAAAAATTACAACATAAATATTTTTTGTTTCAGTTATCTAATAAAACTGACAAATTCTATGTTTTCAGGTAAAATGACCAAAACGGTTGTCAAAACCCATTGATAGAAAAAAAGTCCATAAGAGAAATAAAATTCCAAAAAATGTCATAATTGGCAATTGCTACTTTTTTGTAAAAAGAAATACCCAAAATGACACATTTCTTTATCTACAAAAAATAATCAATTTGTTACATTTCTATTTGTTTTTTGAAAAACGAACAAAAAAACACTTTATTTCAAGATTTTTCAAAGTATGTTACTTTTTTGACAGATTTTGAAGTTGGAAAATCTGTTAAATAGCATCCTACTTTGAGATTGTGCAGTTTCACATGTATTTACCATTTTCCAATTTTACATGTTTTTGCTATTTTCCATTTTTACTGTTTTCCACTTCTATTTTCATTTTCATTATGATAAGGATGAATAGGGTATTCACGTCTAATCTGCATATGACAAATAGAGAGCAAGTTACCCCACCTTTTGAGTGAGAAAATTGTAAATCTTTTTCGCTTCACAAAAGTCCCGATCTCTGTTTAATAACACTTTTACAACTATTATTAGATGATCTACACGCCGCTAAAGAAATATTATTGTAAGATATGTATTTTTTCACTGGCGTATTTTTGTGTATTTTTTTTTCAGATTTACTCATATGTGATGATAAAGGTTGTCCAACCAATAAAACAAAAAATATTGTCTGCAAAGAAGTCCTTCAACAATTATAGATAATCAAACATTTCATTTTATCTTTTTAGACATTATAATAATCAATAACACGAAGTCTCTTTATATTACTTTATTCTTTTTGATGCGTTTAACGCGGGTCATAATCTAGTTAGTTATTAAATCATAGTACGTAATAAATCAATTCCCCTTTTGTTGATTCTACTTGATTTGAGTATTGAAGGCAACTCAAGAGAACCTTCCTATTATTGTAGATATCAACACTAGTTAATGATCTTGGAGATACTTTCCATCAGTCTACCACTTTGACATGACATCCACTATAGATGACGATGTTTTGTCAAAAAGTAATACTTGCAGCACAATTTGGAATCACATTGCTCCAACCAAGGAAAACATCTTAAGAAAACATCTTAATTTGCATGTTAGGCTTGGTCATCTATACACTAGATTGAACCTCCTTAGAATTAGGATCCCTTTGCAATCATCTATATGCACCCTCCGTGCAGCAAGCAATGAATTTGAGTCACACTTATTTCTTGACTACCTTAAAGACATTGAGGTAAATGTGATTTTGGGTCATTGGTGGAGGGATATCCCAATTACAGGTGTGCCCATCATGTATTTGTTTTTGAAGTTGGACCACCTCTACTCTGATGGCCCTGTTATGGATATTGTAGATATGGGAAGAAGGTTGTCTTCTGTTGGAAATGTTATGGATAATGTAGATACGGCAATGAGGTTGTCTTCCGTTTGAAATTCAAGAGCAGCAAAGAGTTAGTAGGTGATCCAAGTATTATATAGCTAGAAATGATGAATAGTTTTGTTAGTAAATCTGCTCTCTCAATCCTGGCAGATGTGAAAGTTTTTGCCATCAACAAGGGTTGGACTGACATTTTCAAATACGGGAAGGTATTGAAACGCTAATACATTTGAAGTGTTGTTCCTTTATGAAACGTGTGCTTGCATCTCATGAGAATAGATTATGAGTAATGTGAAATATGTTTAATGGATCATGAAGTATTCAGATTCATATGCATACATTCATACACCAACACATACAAATACACATTTCATATATATTTATACTCACACAAATAACTCGAGAGAAAATAAAACAGGTTTTAAACAAAGATTAATCCAACCTGTAAACAAAGAAAACTACATCCGCTACTTTTATCAGCAAAGGAATGTATAAGATTGACCAGTAGATGTTTTCTACTTAGGATTTTTTAATAGATCGAAGTACTTGATGTATATATACAGTTCAAGTTGGCCTCTGTTATAACAAAAGTTCATGTTTAACCTTTTCACGATTTATCTAATACACTAAACATAAGAGGCCTATACAGTTAATGTAATCCATATGGTCCGGATTTATTGACTGAAGTAATTGGCATCTGTGATGCACACATGTGGCTGGTAGAGGATATCACCCAAGCAAATTCAGCCTGAAATGAAACATTAACCCATAAAACCTTATGAGTCCACAATAGAGGTGACAATTACAAACTGCACATATTAAAAATTAATCATAATAACTGTAGGTTGGGCAACTTACAGGGGAGCCTTCCTTTCGTCTTTTATCTCATCTTCTAAGGATTCGTCTCAGCCAACCACTTCATCCTATTTATTATAGTGAACATTGGTTAACTTTTTTGGTTTGCCACACAAAAAAAAAAAACTTATTGAAAAACCTATGGATGCAAAAATTAAAATTAATAAAACTAAAGACTCTGTCAGATCTTTTTTGCTTTAAAAAGATCTAATACTGGATCACCAAGTATCAGTATCTTTCTTGATATTTACGGAAAAAGCATGTAAAGAACTAAAGATCAGATCTGCAACACGGTCTCCATAATCTCCAAACAGTATTCAATAAGAATTGAAGTAGATGTCAGCTTTAGACTAATGAAATTAACGTTACTAGATATAGCATAAATTGTAAAGTTGAGCAGAAAAATTGATTGGAATCCAAACATTTACATAAGAAAACGTTATACAAATTTACCTTCTCAAGCTAGGGGCCTCGGACAATCCAACAAAACCAACCCTTGAAATGTTATGAACACCTAACTGATAACGATCTGATTCTACTTGGCTGACAACAGCATACAGATCAATGTATAGTGTGAGTGACAGTCGAACAGCATAATCTTCGAAACACCAAAGTATATATGGC